GGCACTGCTGTTGTTTCTTCAGCACCCGAAATCCAGTGCAAAGAGCAGTGGTACTCCACCTTCTACCTTGCCCTTTACAGGTGTATGGTTTATTGAGCAACCTGTACAGGTGGGCTGGGCCACCCCAAGGCCAGAGTTATCTATCTACCCCTCCCTCCCTGTCTCTCTGGATGAAGGTTAGGTTACCTAATCTGTCTAAGGTGTCTGTCGCTGTACTATCAGAGTCCTATAGATACATTAGACAACATAATTTCTGTCATTAGTGGATCACAACCCACCTGCCCCCATTTCCATCCTCGTCCCATGCTGAATAAAGCGCGGTGATGCTGAGCGGTGCTCTGGCTTCGTTAACTGGGGGAGTGCTGGGGCTCCACTGTGCTCTGAAGGTGGCTAGATCTGGCTCCACCTGATCCTTGGGAGTAGAGAGTTGGACACTGCAGGGCGCTCCCTCTGCCCAGAAAAGCCCTACTCCCAAGCCTCGAGCCACTTCTCCAATTCAGCCAAAGAAAAAGGTGTAGGGACACAGAGCAAGGGCTGCAGGGAAATGCCTGGGAATACACACCACCGCTGTAGATGTCAAACTATGAGCCGTTCCTGTCAGCTCCTCTGAAGTTTATCCACTGGGACAGTCTTGCCGTAAAGGGTCCCTAGCCCAATCCGTACCAAGCTCCTCTCCAGTGAGAGGCCCCTCCATCCAAATTACTGCCTATCCTGGAAGAGTGGGTCAGGTTTCTTATCCCCCTTGAATCTGGTGGCAGAAGGCATAACCCTGGAAGGTCAAATAAAGCTGTCCTATGTCAATAGGAGTGAAGCGGGTTTCACTCAGAGGCCAGCAGGCCTAGTGGGCAGGCCATGGCTCGACAGTCCTTCCACCCTGTAGTGAGTTGCATTCCAGTTGGCAGGCCGTGGCTTGTCCATTTCCCAGCGCTCAGGAGTTCTCCCAGACAGATGTGGGGTGGGAGTGAGAAGTAGGGGGATCCAGGACAGCTCCCCACCAGGGCCCGTGGGGGACAGGCCTGGAATGTCTCTCTCGCCTCTTCCTGGTGCCCCTGACCAGCCTCCCTGGAGTGCTGTCTCTTGCTCTGGGACAGTCTCAGCCTGATTTCCTCCACCCGGGAGTCCCCAGTCAGTCCCAGCAGCTCAGTCCGTTAACTGAGCATTCCCGAGCTCTCCTCTTAGTGTCCAGTTATTCTCCCTCAGTGGGGAGGGAAAAGGGTCCCTCCTGGTTGAGTCTTACCCCCAGTCCAGACCCTCTCTTGTGGATCGCTTTGTCCCCAGAAGATGCAAACTGCGATCCTCCTGTTAGCCAGCCTCTCCTTCACTTTCCCTCCCTGCTTGACTGACGTCCCTTCTCTGCAGATCCTGTATTTGGAGCATAATCTGCTGCTGAGGGGCGGGGCCCTTTTGGCCTGGTACTGCTCCCTCCCTCCCTTAGTCTCCATGTAGGGTCCGTAAATGCCATCGCAAGAAGTTGTTATACAGACTAGGGCCCTGATCCTACAAAGACTTGCATGCAATCATGCAAAGACTTTATACTTGCAAGCAGTTCTATTTAACTCAATGGGGGCTACTCCCATGTTTAAAGTTAAACTCAGGGTATGTAAATCTTGATAGGATCAGGGCCTTAGACTCCTTTTGAAAGAACCCTGTAGGCGAGAGAGAAATAGGGCTTTGTGCTGTTGCTGCCCTATCTCGCAATAGGGGTAATAAAAAGAAATTCCCAACATAACTGAGACACAACCATCGCAGTGTGTGAAATCTATATGCTTTTCAGGGCAGGGCCTGACTTTATTTCTGGGTTTGCTGCAGCAGTGCCAAACAAATAATCGACTAATAATACTGCGGATCTGGTTTATTCAAGGAAACTGAGATCTTACGTGGCTACATTCTTGTGTTAAAGAGAAAAGAGACTGCGTTGTACTTCCCATTTGTTTTTGTTATTAGGGCTGGTTTGAAGCCAATTCGAGATGAGATCTGTAATAATGGGAGGTGTTTTCTCTCCTGGGTCTTGGCATTAGTTCTTGGTTGGTTGGTTTGGGGTTTTTTTCCACGGTGTACTTCTCCCGTAGGAAATCTGTGAGGGGAAAAGAAGGGGGGAGAAAGAATTGTCTCAAAACCATATGACTATTTTTCAAATCCTAGTAAGGGATCTGGACTGGCCACCCCCCACCCCCAGTGCTGTTTTGACAGTGGAACAAATGTATCCCAGATATAAATGCAATGAGCCTGATCTGGTGATCTCTAGCACTTCAGGGGAGGGACTCCTGATTTACATCTGTTTAAAACAAAGGAAAAGGACATCCAAAGACTTTGAGGGTTCCTGAACTCAGTGGAGTTACACCAGAGATGAAGTTGGCCCATTATGAAACACCAGTGGATTATTACAGATCTTATATCAAATTGGCTTCGAATCAGCCCTGATAACAAAGACGAATGCAGTTTTGGGATGCATTGGCATCACATCTGGGGACAGGGATGGGATAGATCTTCCTCTGGTGCATTGCACTTGGAATATTCCTTCGGCTCTTGGCATCTTGTTACCAGAAAGATACTAATGGTCTGGAGGGAGTTCTGTAGAATGCAACAGAGATAGGGGAGGAGTGAGGACAGATTTGAAGAGCTACATCTGTGCAGCTTGGCCAAGTGATGGCTAAGCCAGGGTACATGAGAATAGTCTGCAGATATTGGAATGGTGTGAGCGAGCACTAAAGCTGTGGAGGGATTGCTCACCATGACTCAGGAAATAATGGGACAAAATGGAAAACGGACAGCGAGAGCTGTGAAGCTCTGGCGTTATCTCCCAGGGGGAAAAGGGAGAAGCCCCATCACCTGGGAGGTTTAAAATTAGATTGGACCAAACATTGCAGGATCAGGGCTGCAGTGAGATGCATGCAGGTGGTTTCTGTGCTAATTAGGAGCCCCACTGATTTCAGTGGGGCACCATGTGGTTGCAGAGATTTGAGTGCAGAATCAGTCATAGTATTGGGGTCTAATAAGTGAACAGAAGGGGGCAGCCCTGCATCAAGTAGGACATGGACTAGGTGCCATAGATCCACCGCCAGAAGGGACCACTCGGATCATTTACCTGGGTCTTTTCCATCCCCAGGTTCTTTTGGTTCTAGGACCTCTGAGCTTAGGGAAACATCAGGAGGGAGAGGTCAGCAGGAGAGGGGCTGGGTATTTTTTTTAGTTGGTTTTTAACGTACATCTCATTGATGCATGTGGCTGTCCAGTGTTGCCCAGCAAACGCATACAAAGCAGAGAGGGGATCGATTTTCCAAGAGCATCAGGCTTTCCCTATTGTAGAAGATCTGGGCCTTAGCCACCATGACTCGATCCAGGGCTGACCTGCCCCAGTGTTCAGGGGAGCTGTGGGTCAGAGGTTTGGGTTTGTGCTCATCTCTGGGTATTACAGCTAAGCTTTAGAAACCTATTCCTTTAGTATTGTTGTTTGTACTGCAGTTGCACCTAGGGTTTGCCAGCCAGGGAATGGGGCCCCACACCAGTAGGCATTGTTCAGCCCCACACAGCTAAAAAGATAGTGCCTGCTCCAAAAGCCTTTGACCCCATGATCTGAATGGTAGCCTGGATTCTCCAGCCCCTGCATCGCTTCCTCCCCAGAAATCAGTCAACTCTGGAGTCTAGCTCAGGCTTGGTCTAGCAAAAAGCACCGGGGCTGGGCAGTGATGATTCCTTCTCTTCTTTACAAGCGATTCTCTCTGTGTTTGTAGGTTCCCTGCACACGGGCCGGAGTTCTCCACCCCCGGGGAGTGTTCCTGAAGAACAGCAGCAGATCGCTCGGCAGGGCTCCTACACCAGTATTAACAGCGAAGGGGAGTTCATCCCTGAGATTATGGACCAGAATGTAAGTGGAGCTGGCGTGTGTGAGCTGAGTATCGCCAGCATTAGGCAAATCAGATCGTTACAACCCCGAAGGCGAGCTCCGTTACTCCAGAGGTGGAGCAATGGAGAGTTCCTAGGTGTTGACCTGTGACCCAGGACCTGATCCAGTAGGGGCAAGCACAGTTTATATTTTTATGTGCAAGGTTGCTTTCAGTAATGTAAGACGCTGAAAGGCAAGTCGGAGGACATTTCGACTTGGCAACAGGCTGAGGTCTAAGCAAGGTCTAGTAGAAAGCTTAGCTTAGTACAACTGCTTGACCTGAGGTCATAAGATTTTTTGCAATACGTAGCATGTGATAAGCAAGTACATCACAGAAGCTTATAGGCCATTGGGGATATATGTAACCATGGAGAACCCACACTTGCGTATCAGAACCAGCAGGAAATACGTGGTGCAAATAGTTTTTGTTAGCAATCAGAACCTTAATTATGGTCCCCCAGAATGACCAACATGGGCTGGGGGCTGAGACGATGTGAGAGCGTCCCAGTCCATTCCCTGTGATTGCAGAGGGGGTGGAAGTGCTGAGCTCTCCTCCCTGCTTCCCACATCCATATTAGCTCCAGATATGGTTCCTGGCCCCGCTATTTTCAGCTGTAGTGAAATTGGAGGGGAAAGCAACTTATGCCCCACTC